ATACGGCGGCCGAATATTTTCTGTGAAAATTTCTCGGACATTCAGGCCGGTAAATGTTGTTTAAGGCTGTTTATTATAAACAGAGCATTTACTTAAATATTTTTATCTATAAAAAGAATGTATAAACATAAAAATGTCTTAAAATAAATGTCAGACTTCGTTCATTTCATAATTAAAAGTATATAAACGCTGTGTAGTGGAATAAAGAACAACAATAGTAATATAGAATAAAATGAATAATAGAATATTAATAATGACGAGCATATTATCCCAGACTCCTGCGATGAATACCAATAATAATAAATGTGTAACACAAATAATAAAATAATAATGAAGAGTAATCAAACCAGATTAAAAGAAGTAAAACTATTGATGCGTTAAAAGAAACCAAATTCAGGTTTTAACTTGTAAAAACGAACCCTTCAGCCTTATCGAGTGATGATTACCTCATAAAAATCAGGAAGTTGACAAGGAAACACATTATACTGAAATCTATAAAGATGCTAATCCGTATATATTATAAATGCTAATACGTATATATTACTGATGCTAATCTGTATATATTATTGATGTTAATACATATATATTATTGAAATGATTTACACGATGTTCCTCATTGTCTACAGAAGAGATCTTTTTTTTATTTTTCCAATTTTATAAAGAAAATTCATTATTTTGATTCATTGATCGACAGATATTGATTTTCCCGAGTTGTAGTTTTTTGCAAGATCAGAAAGAGTCTCGGAAATGTTTACGGAAAGACAATCGAGTTTAGAATAAAAATAGAATGATATTTAAGTAAACAATTTCCATTCGATGTGATAATCATTTGCTGCTACGGTCTTCTTTGAAAATCTGAAGTCAGGGTTCGAAATTCTGTCCCTGATGTTCAATTGTATCTCATTTGGTTGGCTGTATTCCATGGGTAAAATGTTTCATAAAAACCAATATTTACATTATTTACATTATTCGGACTATTGTGCTAATCTTTGTCGCCATTTTTATTACAACGTGTCGGCCGTTGTACGCCCCGGCCTTATTCAGGTGTTTGGAATGTCGAACTTAACTCTTTATTTCGCTCACTGGGGTAGACTGTTCTAGTTCCACGTGCCATGTTTAATGGATGCGCGTTATCAGTTATCTCCTGTTATTTTCCCTGTGAAAGTTCTCCACTGCCTTAACCGGGTATTGAACTTACACTCTTTAGGGTCCTGTCACTGGATGTAAGTAACGGCTTTATCCACTGTGTCCAGCAAGCGAAATAAAGGGTTCAGTTACTTATTTTAGAAAAGTAGAATTAGTATTGTAATATCAACTAATTCCAACAGAAGGAAACTATGTTGAGGTAAAGACAGTTAAACTATGTTATGGAATGATTAACTAGCCGTTTCTATACAGAAAACTTTTGACATTCGTCGCCCAAACAGAGTGACTGTTAGCTGAAACAGAAAAAAAGTTCCACTAAGACAGATTCTTCCCAGAATTATTACGTAGTGTGACAGCTTCACATCAGAATGCTTCCTCGATAACTACAGTCTTATCCACTTCAAATTTGGTGTCTATTGTGAGACCGGAATATACTCTTCCAGGCCTATATTAAGTAGGCGACATAGCACTCTAGAGAGTGACATAGAGAGCGTTATAGTAAGCTCCGCTTACACTATCTCTGTAACCTGTTGTTAATATATCTTTCTTATATCTAATCCGTGTTCCGTGTTTTACTTCTGTGGTCCAAACTTTGGCCCCACATCAGTGTCAAACTTTATCTATCCTACATATCCTCATAATATGAATTTTACGCCTATACAGCGGACTTATTTAGTTACCATCTACCCTGATTGGCTCTTGGGTCTTATCTTGGGGGGAACAATATTTTATAAAAAATAGTAACATGTCTTAGCAATTCAGATGAGGTAATGATAGGTGACAGAGTGTGAACGATGTAAGTCGCTCTATTCTTATGGAATGTAAATAAAAAAGGAAAAAAAAAAACAAGATAGATGAAAAGATTGAAGAGAAACATTATTCGAGTTTTACGTTCTTGGTTCCTGTAGGAAACAAGTTCTCTTTGGAAAATCGCCATTATCATTGGAGACTGCTCAGCACCAATCATGTTTTACACGGCAAAACGTGTCAAGGTTACATCGTTAACTTGGCACTTTCATTCTACTCGAAAGGGAAATACGATAAAATCAGTCCGGATTTGAATAACTGTCGCAGTTTTGTAATGCGAAAGTGACGGCTGACCGCTTCTACATTTTTTTGCAAAGTGTTTCAAATAAAAAAAAATATATATAAATATGTGGAATCAGAAATTTGATATAGAAAGGTTTTTATAAGTTTCTGACGTAAATAAGAGTGATAAAATTTCGACAGCGGGTAGCTTCTCCCTCGGTTTTAAATAATGTCATTTGGCATAACTTTTGTAACTGATAAATTTGAATTTATTCTTTTAGATATTGTCTAAAGCAATCGACCCCAAATACTATAAAGTAATGTGGTTTACATACAGATATCTACTTTTCTTATTCTAAGATGCGGATACAATCACCATTGATGAAAAACTTACTAGCAGAGACATGAGAAATTAACTATCAAAAATACAAATATGTTTGGCGATTTTAATATATTTTATATATTAAAGTAACAAGAAGCGCTCTTCTATTCTAGCCTTGTGTCATATTAAATGGCACAAGGCTAGAATAATAAAGAATTCAACGAGAACTGAATTCATTATACGTGTGGTGATCTTTCAGATTAATTTACAAGTCATTACGATCCAAAAGATGCCACCATGTATAAGTTTTCTTTTTAAGCTTGATTCAAATTTTATATGGCCTTTTCTTAGACCGGAATTTATTTTTGGGATGTATTCCTTCAGGAAACTGGCTGTCATATTAGAGAGAAAGAAAAATAAAGAAAATAGATTAAGCAAAAGAAAAACTATATGGTTTACATTACCATTTAATTTAGAAGTTAATACCAAAATTAGAAATAGTTATTTTCTTATTAAAATAATCACTCCCCCAAAGCTATGTATGAAAAATTATTTTAGAGAAACACCAAAAGAAGAAGAGAATGTCAAAAACGAAAAAATAATAAAGACGTATAATAGAAACTTATTGAATGCACAACCAAAAATTAATCAGAATAAATGTAAATGTAAAAGGCTCAATGACTGCCCTCTCAGTAGTAACTGTCAGGCAAAATACATCGTCTATAACGCGGCGATAACAGGCGAAAGTGCTCAAGATAAAGTCTATGTCGATGTCACTGAACGGAATCCGTCAACGAAATTCGAATGCGTATTATATTGGTGAAGAATGCAATCCAAAAAGTAAGCAAACTAATAAGCTCAAAGAAAATTTCATTAGAAATCAACAAAAGAAGAATGATGAATTGCTATGAGATATCAATCCTCTTCTATGGCAGAGAATAACGTACAATCTCACCAAGGATGAAGATGAAACTGGAGACAACAGAAGTTTGGTTCTAAGGAATGATAATGAGAGTTCTACGGCTTAAGCAAGTAAGCAACGAGTAAGTCTTAAAATGTTTAAAAAAAAAAGAACACTAAAATCAGAAAGAAACAAAAAGTGATATGTTTTATCTCAGATTGGCAATTCAAATAAACTAGTGAAAGGAGTGTGTAAAAAATGCTGAACACTAATGAAGAAGAAGGGCTTGGAAAATTCGACACTCACTGGGCATATCGGGAGGCAGTGAGTCATCTGCCTGACGCGTTTCTGTGAATGGATTGTGAAACGGGAGTTGGAGTCTTGGTAAAGTGTGAAACGCTTTAAGGGCCACGAGGAATAGGAGGTTTGTGGAGACCCATGACAGCTCACATCCCGAAGGAACACGGCACATAGAAGAAGAAGAAGAAGAAGAAGAAGAAGAAGAAGAAGAGGAGGAGGAAGAGGAGGAAGAAGAGGAAGAAGAAGATGAAGAAGAGAAGAAAAGAAGAAGAAGAAAAGAAGAAGCAGAAGAAGAAGAGGAAGAAGAGGAGGAAGAAGAAGATGAAGAAGAAGAGAAGAAGAAGAAGAGAAGAAGAAGAAGAAGAAGAAAAGAAGAAGAAGAAGAATATATAATCATAGAATCTTGTTTAATATATGAAAAATAAAGGATAATGAATGCGACATTAAGAAAATTGAACGGCGATAAAATTCTTCTTTCTTCTTTCCTATGCCGTGTCCCTTCAGGATGGAGAAGATCATGGCACTTCACGTCTTCCTACCCCTTGTACCTCCCAATAAGTTTTGTCTTTTTATTACTTATCCCAAACCCATATCAGCCATCAAGCTCATCAAGTACATTACGCGTTGCTGTTCTCTGTTCCTCTTTCCCTCAAACTGTCACGTGAAATCTTAACTGTCTCTTCCTGATGTTAAGTATAAGTTTCCTTTTTGTTACTATTCTCTCCAAAACCTCTTTGTTGCTCAGATGCACGGCCAATTTATTCTCAATATTTTGTTCATGGCGCCAAGAGTAAAAGCCAGTAACATCTACTTTCTTCGACCAGTAACATCCATTGACAAAAAAAAAATGTGTGGAGTTTTGCCAACAAGCGAGCATGCAAAGAAATATCTCCTGCTATACACAGCTCCGGACAAAGAATATGATATGCATGCAACCTGAATGTGTTCCATACTCGTCCCTATAATTTATGCGCCGTGCTTAACCGGTCATGTGATCATTAACGGCCATTCAGTTATTCATTCATTCATTTTCTACAGCTTATCAACCCTTTGTAGGTCATTTAAATCTAGAAACATTTGTCTTTTTAGATTGTAAGATTTTTAGTGGGTAGTAGATAACGATGATTCAGTGATAGAAGCTGTACTAATTAACCCATAGCCATGGGGGGAAGAGGTGGATTCATAACTTTCGAATGGGTATTTTCGCGTAAGTGAATATAACGAACCCAAATTGAATTGGAACTCGGCTCTCCGATTAACAATTTCAAGTCATTATCAATTCTAGCACCTGCTCATACATGCTTACAGCATAGCGTATTCCCAAGTGGTCACCCATCTAGGTATTGATCATGCTCGATGTTGCTTAACTTCTGGGATCGCACGGAAATCGGTGCTTCAACGTGATTCGAAAGTAAGCCATTTACGACCAGCCAGTGACGCCCTGGTGTGGATAGCAAACAAGTGTGGGTTGACACCTTCAAAGAGCTACCCGGACACGTGCAACAAAATCACAAACATTGGTAAGATAACGTGCGGGATCTGTGAGTTAGAACACAGTAATAATATTCGCTAGCTTTTTGGTTCTGGGTCTGAGAGAAGGGTTGTAAAAAATTTATACGTTTTGTTAGCGTTTTTCTGCGTAAAAATAAAACTATCATTTATGTTCTTTCGACTTCTCCTTAGCTGTTCTTTATTTTTCGATTTTAATAATTGGAAAAATATATGTACACAAGAAAGGTACAATTAATGTCGTCCACCTATATTTTGTAAACTCAACAAATATATATAAGAACGTTTGGGATTCAAAGTATTATGATAGTTCTTCTACCTGATTATTCCGTTGTTAGTATACAAATATTGTAAACATTATTTTATACGACTCAGTTAGTGCTCTGCTTTGTGACCTTGGGCACTGTCTGAAAATGCCAACTTTTTAAGAAAGGCTGGTTTAGGTATTTCAAAAAAATTAATATCGGTATTTTATATATATATATATATATATATATATATAGTTTGAAGGTATGCTATATTTATGGGTTAAAGATCTCAATAATATGTAAATATGAAAGTGGACATTGATGTCTACACGTAGACGCGACAGTCTGATTCATGCTAAACGCAATCTCCAGTTTATTTATGGCCTGACGATTGCGTTTAACATGAAACACACTGTTACTTCCGGGTGTTGATATCAATTAAATAAATATATATATATATATATATATATATATATATATATATATATATATATACGAGGGTCATTCAATAAATAAGATGTTTTTTTCGGTATAAGAACTTCCAATACAGATAGAAGCTTACGTTTTTTTTTCAACGTAGTCTCCCAGCACTGTCACACACTTTTCCCATCTGTGCACAAGCTTCCGTATTCCCTCAGCGTAAAAATCTTTGGACTGATGTCTCAGCCAGTCGCTCACAACACTTTTGACTTCATCGTCACTTTTAAACTTCGTGCCTCTCGTGAACGCTTTCAAGGGACCAAACAGGTGAAAGTCTGAATGGCCAAGGTCTGGGCTGTAAGGGGGGTGATGGAGCAGTTCCCAGCCCAGCTCGTTGATGGGCTGCACCGTTTGGGCTGCTGTGTGAGGCCTTGCGTTGTCATGATGCAAGATGACTCCTTCTGACTGATGACCCCTGTGTTTGTTCTTTGTGTCTTTCTTGACCTGCCTCAGCAGTTCACAGTAGTTCTTCTGTCAGACTGAATGAGGTCATTGACTGATTCGATCACCTCAGGAGACCTCACTTCTGTAGGCGTCTCAGGCCTGTCTTCATCCTCAATACTGCTCCGTCCTTCTTTAAACAAATTAGCCCATTTGTAGACATTTTTTGGCTGAAACATGTGGCACCATACACAGTTGACATTCTCCTATGAATTTCAACTGGTTTGCACCCTTCAGCAACCAAAAACTTGATAACTGACCGCTGTTCAATCCTGGAGCATGGTTCTTGGCCGGCCATCTTTGTTAATCTCCAAAACTCTCAAAGTTTTTTTAATCTGCAAAATAATTTAAATTCATGTGAAAAAAAAGTAAAACAAAAAAAAACCAAAAAAGTAAGCTTCTATCTGTATTAAAAATCCTTATACCGAAAAATCCACCTTATTTATTGAATGACCCTCGTATATATATATATATATATATATATATATATATATATATGTGTGTGTGTGTGTGTGTGTGTGTGTGTGTATAAATATATGTGTGTGTTTGCGTGTGTGTGTGTTTGCGTGTGTGTGTGTGTACTGTCAGTGATAGCCGATCTTTATCAGGGCAAGTGACAATGCTGCTTCATGCAATTCAATCGATTCTTTATTTCCTTACCATAAAACAGTCAAATTATCGTAATTGATTAATTTAAAAGTTATGACAATCGTTTATTACAAACACGACAGATTATATTATCCGTTATATTTCTTTGATTTATAAAATCTATTTACAGTATAATTACATGGCTGCTGCCAATAATATATTGCTTATGTCCCTTTAACTAGTTCCAGCATTTCAGACATTAACAATTTGGACCGCCCACTTTACGTCCACGGAGTCAAATCACCCATATTTCCTTCGTATTCCATTTGTAAGGAGGAATTTCCACAAAGAGAGCATTTTCATGGAAACTGCTACGTTTTATTTAAACAAATTCCTACATGAATGCTTCCCTAACCAATACAATCTTAATCTATTCAAGTTAAGGGTAAATCACGAGTCATCTTCTTTATCCTAATATCGTTCACATCCTTCTCCCTTCTTTTACGTTCATGTTACAAACCTCTTTCAATAACAGTCCACCATGAGGTGTGGGAGGCTTGTAAGTATGAAGTTTAGCATAAGAAAATCCCCTGCTCTGATCTTGATGCTATGGTCGTTAATATTTTCAGGAATTAATCCACGGAAATTTAATTATGAAAGTAATCAATAAAAACATCGTTTATCTAAAGATCACAGAAAGAGACTACAAATAAACTTTAAAAAAATATTTTTCAAAATTTGATTTTTTTTCTACTTAAATATACAAATACGTATAGTTCTGCATAGTTGTGCGGCAAATAAGACACAGATAGGGAGATATAAATAATTTTGTATAAGCACACACACACACACACATTCACCCACACAAACAATGAAGTATTTTTCATGTATTTAAATTAATTCTTAATTAATTAGTCTTAGGATAACATTTCCTTTTATCGCACATATTGCTCGTGGAAGGAGAGGAGGAGGAAAAATATGTAATTCTGAGTATTTAAAAAATTTCAGAATATTATTTGAAAGACCACCGGCCTTCTATTCTTAATATATATATATATATATATATATATATATATATATATATATATATATGTAGACATTTTATTGTTTACTAGCAGTAGAGCCCGACGTTGCCCGGGGATGTAACAGTAAGAGATAGATCAAGTATCGACCATCATAAAGACTGAAAAATAAAATTGACAAAGATTATTGTTTAAGCTTGACGGACACACATGTCTTAATTAGTTTTTTTTGTTTGTTTGTTTCTTTTTGTTACGAATTGGTCAAACCCAAACTCAAACAAAAACATTGTTTTCAATCGTTATGAGTCTATCGATTGAATAGAATTTTATTATAAACAATTGTCTTGTAAATGGAATTTTTAAAGCATTCTGAATGTAAAAACAAAGAAAAAAGTGTGCAAGACAATAAGTAACACTACCTGCCAAAAAAAAGTGAAGTTTTGTTGAAATCGGTTGAAAAATGTAGGAAATCCGATCCCATATAAAGGAACATACACGCACACACACACAAACAACCTGGGTTTTATAATAAGTATAACTCGATATGAGTTGTCCCCCTTTCATTCTGGTGACAGAATCGTGTTTTCAAATTGATTTCGTGCAAAAACAATTGTGTTTTTCCAATTTGTGGTCAGAACCACGGCAAGGTAATTTTACGCAGTCCTGTGAAGTTTTGTTGAAATCAGTTGAAAAATGTAGGAAATCCGATCCAATATATAAACGTACAGACACACACACAAACTGCGTTTTATAATAAGTAAGATACATTCTTTATTTATAGATACAAATATTAATATTTGTTAATACTGTTTATTATAAACAGAGCATGTACAATAAACAGTATTAACAACATTTACCGGCCTGAATATCCGAGAAATTGTCATAAAAGATATGCGTCCTCCGACAGGAATCGAACCTGTATCCTATACGATACCGTCATATAGCCTGAGATGCTTTACCGATTGAGCCACAGAGAAGCGTTTCGGTTAGCAAGGTTTACTGTTTTTAAACTACAATTTTCCATGATTTTCTCACGTAAATTCATATCTGCTCGATGCGTATCCAAATGTAAAGAAATGACGTCACACATTATGAAATGGAGAGAGTCCGACAAATTATTATTATTATTATTATTATTATCATATATATATATATATATATATATATATATATATATATATATATATATATATATATATTATACGTTTCATCTCAAGGAAGGCAGGGGGACCACTCGCATGCAGGGGGTTGCAGAGAGTGAAAGTGAGAGAAAAGACTGCGGATAGAGGGGGGGAATTGAGGAAAGGATAAAAGAAGAGGGGAATCAAGGCAACAGAAGATGGCGATTGACGTTGTATTTAAATTTTTGAAGATTGTAGTTCTCAGGGAAGAAAGTAAAAGAGAGGAGTTCCACTGTCGAAAAGTACGAGAAAAGAAATCTTTGGCGTGGTGGTGGTGGTGTTTGCATTTAACTATTTCAACAATAAACAGATGGAACCTAGATGACAATCTAATAACACTTAAATTCAATTAGTCGGCGCATCAAGGAAGAAAGCTCATCAGAACAATATATATATATATATATATATATATATATAAAGCATGTGGTGCAGTTCAATTTACATTACCTGAATCATTCATAGAAAAACAGATATAGAGTTTATTCTCGCCATTTATATCATCAACTTTTATATCTGTTTTTGTATGAATGTTTCATGTAATAGATATATTAAGAAATGGACAAAGTCCGACAATTTATTTATTAAAGACATTTTTATGTCTAACGTGCTTTTTTTTATAGATAAAGTATTTAAGTAAATGCTCCGTTTATAATAAACAGTATTAAATAACATTTTCATAGAAAATATTCGTCCTTTGACAGGATTCGAACCTGCATCCTATACGGAACTGTCATTTATGCTGACGTGCCTTACCGATCGGCCACAAAGGAGCGTTCGGTAGGCAAGGTCGAATTTACTGCTTATAAACTTCAATCTTACATGAATCTCGTACATTCATAACTGCTCTGGCGTATCAAATGTAAACAAATGACGTCATATATTAAGAAATGGACAAAGTCCGACAATTTATTTATTAAAGACATTTTTATGT